GGGGCGCTCCCTGGGGACCCGCGTTCGGGGTTCGGGGGTTCGGGGCCTGGCCCGGGGTCCGCCAGGCCGCGGTGCCTGCAGGCCTTCCGCCTTTCGGACTGACCATCGCCTCGCGGACGGGCCATCGAGACAACCAACTAGCGAAACACCCAAACTATTATTTTTTATGAGCCAAAAAATGAGCAATTCTTATCATTTCGTTGGAAACCCCAACTCCCTCCCCTGGTAGGTTTTAACGTGATTTTTAAATCAAGCGCTCAAAACACCACCTTGCCAATCCCGAGGAGCCGTTTCGATGGGGAGGGAGGGGGTGCTTAAGGAGAGTCTCCCGCACCCCTGAGTGACCAACTCTTGGAGGTACCCTCCCTAAAACTAGAGAAAAGCCAGGCGTCACACCCCCTTCCCAAGGTCAGGTGGCATCAGTCACCATAAGGCAAGAGAGCACCCTGAATTATTTAATGGAGCCTGTTGTCACAGAAGGCAACTCGGAAAACTCTGTAACAAAGTTGCACATTTTAGAGACTGAAGTGGACTGAACACACAGCCAAACACCTGGGCTTAGGTGTTCATTCCCATCACCATCAAACAGCACAGCCATCCTCCAGGAGTGCCCGCATGCTCTTTTCCAGTCAAAAGCATGGCTTTTCAATGGAACAATATTAAAACTGCTATCCATTGCCTCCTTGGAAGGAAAGGAAGGCTTTAGGCCATGGGTGGGACCCCTAGGTGAACATGGTGTCCCTTTATTCACAGCAAGGGTTTGTCACCTTTAAACTCAAATTTTTTAGCATTTCTAAATCCAGGAAAGAGGTCTTAAAATTAACTTCCAAGTTTTTTTAAGTGAAAAACTGAAACGTGGAAGGCAGATTTTGCTCAAAACTGAAAAGCTCCACGTTTTTAAAGGACCTTTGGTTTAATGATGTAATATCTTAGTACTTTTGCCGAACAACTTTAACCTAGTGTAGGCACATATTAATAAAAAGGGAGTTTTCAGGGCATCCAGGTACCTCCCAGGTTGAGGGGAGCTTCACTTCCCATTTTACACTCTCCCATCCCATTTGAATGGTTTTATAATTTAAAAAGTGTATAAACCTTTTACAAGTCTGGCAACACCGAGCATCCACTGTTTTAGCCCAAATAAAACGTATGTGGATCTTTAACTGGGAATATAAATAAAACCTGACATTTAAAATCAACTGCTGGGAAGGGAGGGTTCAATCAACACCCCTCCCAGGAGGGAAACTGTGGTGGATCCAAGCTGCCTTCCCTGCACTACACTCCCCACTCCCATTGCACCCTAATCTCCACCTTTCCATTCCTCTTCCTGAGAGATTCAGGTTAATATTTAGCTCAATCATTTTTCTAAAAGTCATGAAAACATACTGGGAACATTCACCCATGCATATGGAAAGCCTTAAAGATGAGTCCATTCGAAGCTTAAAAACGGAGTATGAGAATAACTGCTCCCTAGCTTCATACCTAGAAGAAAACTTTTAAAAGTGAGGCACCTCCAATAAATAGATTACAATTTCAACTTTTTTCCAATAGGAGAAGCCGGCTTAAGGCCACCAGGCAATAGCTCCGCCTTCCTCCCCAGATAACAGGTTAGGAGCGGACCGGCTGCCCCGGAGCCCCTGCCCAGCTCGGTGCCAGCACGCCCACTCCGACTCGCAGGCAGCACCTCCCCCCGGATGGTAAAGCCTCCGCGGTCTCCCGCTCTGCCTGCGAGACCAGACCCTAAGCAAACGCGCGCACCCCGCCCCCGGCCTGCAGCCGGACCGTGTGAGTTACCGACCCTCTCCACAGAGCCTGCTGCTCGAAATGTTCGGCCCTTCCTTCCACTCATGGTTCAGGGGAGTAGAAGGCGCTGAACGGTGTGGAAAATAAGCAGTAAGGGTAATTCAACAGCCGAAACAGAGAAATGAAGCCCAAAGACTGCAGCGCGGCCCTCGGACATTGTGAACCCTTGGGTTCAAGCCGCGGGCAGCTGGGTCCGGTGTGGGCTTTTTTGGTTTGTTTTTTTCAAGAGAAGTGGCGCTCCTGGTTGAGCTGGGTGAGGACATTCCCCCCAACCAGGGAACCCGGTTCCAGTAGAGATCGAAGCGGGGGCAGCAAGGGACTCCCAGCTGGGAGAGGGCAATGGGTAGGTAGAGCCCCCCCAATTCTGCTTCTCTAGGCGCAGCCCTGGGCCCACGAGGCCGAAGGGCGTAAGGGCAGGTTCAGGGGCCGGGACCTTTTTTCCACAGTGCGGAAAACAACCGCGGAGAAGAGAAGCGCTCTGGGCCGAGGGCCCCTCGGCCCTCAGAGATCCACATGCGCTCAGACCCCGCACAAGGAGACGACTGCCACCGTGTCCCAACAAAAAATACACTCTTCCCTCAGAAGTGCGCACGTGGAAACCAGGTCCACACAGGCTCACGCACTCCTCACCCACCACTCACCCACACAGCCATCTCTTCCTCGCTCATGCCGTCCTTAAAAGCAACCAGCTACGAGTTTTACAAAAAAATAAATAAAAAGAGAGAGAGAAAAGAAGCTAAAATAGAGCCCTCAGCACGACGGGAGGCCTCTAGCGTGCCCGCACAAGACCACATCTGCACAGATACACAGCACATGCTCTCCCATCTCGGGTCTTACTTAAAACAATAGCGTGCACGCCTTGTCAAACAGAAATGAAATGAGAAAACCAAGCCCACAAATAAAAGGGGGTGTCCTCCAACCTCGGGAAAGGGGGCGGCGGGAACCCTCGCACATGGAAACCAGGTCTACACACCCCTAACTCTTCCCAGCTCATATCTAATTGGAGAACACGGATGCCACGTTTTCTCACAGAATTAGGTGAGGAAAAGGGGTAACCCCACGTTTTGGGTCCCCCTCGAGGGTCCTTCGCAGCAAAGCACACAGAAAACAGGTCTTCCCATACACACACACACACACACACACACACACACGCCCCTACTACTACTACTACGTGGCGACGAGCGCCATGCAGGCAACGGGAAAACCAGAAATCCCGAAAGAGACACCCACCCACCCACCGCTGTGGGTCGGGTCCCCCGGCCCTTCGCGAGCCCTCCCGCGGTTCCCGGGTGGAGACACCCGCGCGCCCCACCCGCGCCCCGGGAAGTCGCCGCACACCCACCTCGTCGTCGTGGTGCTGGCAGAAGCCGAGGCGCTCGGGGAAGACCGAGAGGATGGAGAAGGGCGGG